CCGTTTCTGTTCCACAAAAAAACTACATAGATTTATAAAAGTTTTTAAAAACATATGTTACAAAGCAGTTTATTACTAATGAGATTTTTTACTTTGTAAATCTTAAATCTAAACAAATAATATTTGCGCTCTCATTTTTTGATACTGAATTAGAATATAATACTTTCGAAGAGCTTAGAAAAAATAGATGATAACAACCAGAAACGATTAGAGAAAAGGCTGATTTTTAGTCAGACATCTAATATTACTAATTTCTTAGGCTTTTTCCAGTAAGAGAGCGATCCAATAAAAACAAAAAAAGTAATTAAATATTCATAGCTGATTCATCGAGCGCCATCAAACCATGCATAAATAGATTAAAAATAAAATGCACTCGTATTTCATCTTTGCCTAACCTTACAAAAGCTTCGTTGTTTAACAATTGCAGCAGTTTTTTCTTCTTTCATATATATGTGAGACGGCTTAATCTGAAAATCACGGTAAGTACTAAAGAGTGTAATTAAAATAGTTCTCTTCCTTGGAAAAATCATACTTCTTAGTCTTTTATGCTGTTTTTCTTTCTTGCACTATATCGAGACGGTGTGTTATGGCAGGAAAACTTCTTCAGAACTTATTTCAACAGTCTTACCAGTTAAATCTGATGGTGTCCAAAAAAACTATCTTTCTCCAACGTATTTGCAAGACTTTGAGTAAAGTATTGTCAAAAAATGTCTTATATAATATAACAAGAACACAAGTTTTTCTACGAGTCTAATCAGAATTGAGAGTGTGTCCATCAAAATAGCACCTCATGTTCATAATATTTTACCATAAATTTGCGCCATTGTTTAATAGCAACCATTTGTACTTCTATCATGTCATATTTGCTCACCTTATCAATTTTCTGATAAATATCATCGAGTTCAACGCATTTATTTTGAGCAGCCATTCTCTTCCTTGTGTCTTCATATCTCTTTTTGAGCTCTTCAAGCTCTTGCATCAACTTTAGATTCAATTGGTATGAACTTTTCTTAGCACAAATTTCATCTTCTTCTTTAATCATTCTCTCTAAGCCTAACAAGAATGGATCATTGTTTGAAGTACCGGGTGCACCATTCAGAAAATTCGCAAAACCAGCACTTGTTTGATACAAATCATCAAGTATCTGTGTCATGGTTTTCTCAGAGTTGCTTGCTAAATCATCACATCGTTTATATCCAAGTTCATAATCTATTGGGTAGTGATCAGACGGGTCACATCGACAAGTTCGACATCTATTATGAAAGATATGCAAGCCATACGTTGTAATCCAAAAATCAGCAACTTGAGCAAAGTCATGAGAACATTTTAAGCAAATGGCTGTTGTCCCTTTGATAATTTTGGGACATAATACTATAGAAATTTTACGTAATCCTACATTCCATAAAATAATATTACGAAGAATATTTCGCATAGCCTCTAACATAGGTCGAATCATCAAATGAAGTTTGAGTTGTGCATTTTTCGTCGAGTATGACTCAATAGGAATAATACCTCCAGACATCTTAGTGTGAATATATTGGAGAAGACGATTTGATTCACTAGATGACTTCTCCCAACTATCATTGTATTCTCGCTCGTCAATGTCCTTGAATTCGATCTTATTCAGTCTGGCGACTAAGTAACGAAATGACTCACTGTCGAAACAAAACGTATTCTCTTTGATGAAAGGAATCTTTTTGACAGGAAGTGAATCAAGTAAGGTTTTGAGTGCGGGAGCGGTATTCCCTGGTGTATAAAATGTTGAACGTGAGTTGGTGAAGCAAAAAATAATTTTGTCGCAAGCATTTTTACCAAGCAAATCGATTAATTGCATAAAATACAAACGAAAGAAAATATTGAGCCGTGTGTTGTTAGGTTTTAGTAGAATACAGATAGCATTCAAGTGTGTCAGATTCGTAATATATGATAAAATATGCTGAAGATTTACATCGTCTTGGCCGGAGCCATATGTATCTCCTATTCCAGGAGTGTCAATAATTCGCAATTTTCGACCATAATCATTGCCATCTTTGAGAATTAATACATATGATTTGCAATGTTGGGTAACTGAGTGACCAAGATTATCATGATCTTCATTACTTAAAGTATCATTTCCCTCGAATTTGACTACTTGTTCTGTAAAATTATCATCAATTGTAATAGCAAATGAAACAGGTATGAGTACAACTGGATTCTTCTCAGCTGCTTTGAGTTTATCGAATTTCAGATAGTTAACAAAAGCATTGATGAAAGTCGATTTACCAACACCTGATTCTCCAAGAAGTAAAATATTGAGACTTCCATCACTTTTTAATCGTTCTGGCGGTGCCGTTACCAGTGATTGTGGAGCGCTTACATTATTTTTCTTTTGAGTTGTAGGTAAAATGATGATTTGATTGAGTCTGTATGAACAATAGGTGAAGTCAACATAGATCAACTGTAACTGAGGATTTTCTTCACGTTCCTTCAGCAACTGACCGCAAATAATATGCCATTGTGATTGATTTTTTTGGTGTAAATCATCGTTGGAGCACATGATACGTGTATTCTTGGGATCAGTCAAAAGCTTCAACTCAAGTGTTTTTTGGTCATTTACATTTTCAATACCTCGATCCATCGCATTTTGATATATAAATCCTTTGTACAACAAATCTTTAATCAAGTACTCTTTTTTGTCCAATGCATCAAGATTATCAGTGAACTCGTTTATCTTGTTGTTCAACTTTTTTGCTTGATCGTTGCTTAATGCGTCCAGAATAGTACTCTGCTCAATACAATTGCGACGGACGTCTATTACTAAATCTCGAATCCGATGAACTTCATTGGTATACATCGCTTTCAATTCATGCCAGTTTGTTCGTATTTTATTACGTTCGACCATTAGATGTTGTTGCAGATTGATATGATCTTGATCAAAGACTTTGTTCAATCTTTTGAAGTGAAGTGATAGTTGAAGTAAATAAGACTCGATTTGAAAGACGTCATATGTTTTCAATTCATTGAATATCAGTTTATTTCCATTATTTGAAGCATAAAAATATTGGACGGGATAAAGGTTATAGCTATGAGGCTGGATACTACTGCTATTAAGCATCAATGATGAAAGAGATCGAAGAAAATCAGATATTGAATTGATTTGAGTAAGACTAAATATATTGGAGAATACTTGTGTGTGATGGATTCTTTCGAGGAGGTGTTTGTCGTGCTCAGACAACGTTACATTAGCGTGATCATTGCTTAGAGAAGTGCATAGTTTTTCAAGTGCATGATCAATCGCCTCGGTATGTTCATCATTAGGAGGCAGTTGTAAGACAACGGCCGCATCGATTCCCCAATTAACTAACACAATCATATGAGTAGCAACATAATACGAATTTTCTGATTTGGTTCTATTGAATGAGTTGAATTGATTATCTGACAAATAGTCTGTCTTACTATGATACTTATAGTAGAGAAAACGAGTGTATCTATCAATTGCATGAGAATAGTTCATTAATGCGCCGATCCCTTTTGCTGGTATCATTTCTAAAGCGACACTCAACCGTAGTTCATCTTCTACATTCCACCATTTTAAGAGATTCGTACATTCTTTTGCATTAAATGTTTTCATGAAGCACTCTGGTCGCCAAGTTGAAACGATTGGTGTTGTAGAGAAGATTACATTCGAGTTGTAAAGTACTTCATCGGTGTATGCATCATAGAGCCACCCAACGCGTCCGTAGGTGTTAATCGCTCTACGTTGTATGAAAGGACGTGATGTACTAGCCACGATTGGAGTTAAGCTTGAATTGCATGTAGGTAGAAAATCTCGTTGTGCAGCCATTGAATGAATAGATATATTGTTCTCTAGAATTATTAAAATACGAATAAGATCAAAATCCTTACAAGACCGATGCAGTGTTAATAAACTCGTATAGCAAAGTTAAATAAATAAGATTCGAAATGAAAGCAATGTTAATAATATTTATAAAATTTCCATTTCTCTACATAAATATTAAAAAAAAAATATAAATTCGAAATCTTATATGCTGAATGAGAAAAATGCACACTTTTGAAATGCAGTAGATAAAACTGTTTTTATATGCTGGAACGTGGAAACTGTCGATATGGACGTATGATCGATAAAATTGCTTGTGTTGTTTTACAGTCGCATTTCAGCTTCTGACCTTCGATTGTGTTTTTTTGTGAGAGCGTGTCGTCAAAACGCACTTTTTCCAAATTGATGGCGACATGCTTTTGCGAATGCATAAACAAGTTTGAAATGGTTAGGAAGAAAGAGAATGCTGCATTAATGTAGCTCTGTCTGAGCTGGCAGAAAAAGAAAAAGAAAAAAAAAGTTTTTCTTTGTGCTTCCCGGGGGAGGACATTTTGTCGTCGGTAAATAGATGAAATACAATAGAAAAGGGCGCAGAATATAGATAAATACATAGACTTATCTTTGTATGTAAAGAGTTCTGAGAATAAGTATTGATATTCGTTTTAGATAGCTATCGCACGATTCAAAATGCCAAGCAACGACGCATCCATGATTATTTTTTGTTAATTGTTATGAACATCCGCACTTTGAGTGTGCTTTTTTAACTCAAACAATTAGCGGCCGATTAGTTTCTTTCTATTCAGCATGAAAGAGAAGTTTACTTGTGAACATAAGAATGTAGAAAATAATCCAACATCAGTTTTATATAAGAATTAGCCGTCAAGCTTTCAACACTGAAATAAAAACATTGAGATTTTATTGATAAATGATTTCGGATGTTGGGTGCAACCAAATATGTAATGAACTTGAAAAATGATTCAGAATAGATCAACAACTGAAATTGATCATCTTTACCATCGACTTGTCAAAGAAAACTATATTTACTAATACAAATTTCTATGGTCTATCAAAAATATTGAATTCCTCATTAAATTAGTATGTGACTATCATAAATGAAGTAGGATCAATGCAAGATTGAAATACTGAGAATGTTGATTGTGTATTTCAAGAACTGTATATATCTAACATTCACTCATTATGCAGGCAAAGTAGCTGATGTAATAAAAATGAGTAGGAGCATGAAAAATGGCAATACTGTAAATTTATGTTTTCCCGGCAGCTACTAAAGTGCTACGTGGTTAGTACTGATATATTACATAGCTGGCACAACGAATAAAAGTCAGTAGTCAATCTTTAGAAAATTTTGACTGTAGATTTCTATCACTCGCTGATCAAACCTCCAAACAGTGATGTTCTTTTTTTACTATCGTGGAAAACATTACAAGAAACAAAAATGCTTATGCAAGATATTCTACGTTCAGATTACTGCAACATGTTGACTTTGTTATCATACGTATAGGCATTAAAAATTACATATGGTGTATGCATTTATTCTTATAACGTGCAGTCTTTAACACCAACGAATTTGTCAACATATTAAATTCATACGAATATTGTCTATAGTCTTTTCATAGAAAAAAAACATGGATACTTCCTACAGTGACTCTCCGTCACTTGACGACAGGTTGATGCGAAATCAAACGTTTAAAAATTTCACATTAGAACTACTTAAATGTAATCATTCATAGCTTTGTAAAAAAAAATATGGAAGAGCCCTTAGTCTTACAAAGAAAGATTCTCAACTTTGTCCCTGAATTTCTTCGTAAAAAGTACATAGTTTTATATTTTTGACTACATAACATGTATATAAAATTTTCTAAAGAACCATGTAACTTCTTCTTCAGAGATTTGATTTAATCAAAGTAATGAGTTGTTTTGTAAAGAGAGCCGTAGTCTAAAAACTAACTGACGCCGTTCTTTTTTATTAAAAAAACTGAGGGAAAACAGACAGTAGAAATGTTTGATGTTGCTACCAATACTTTTCAATGAAATATTCAGCATTACACACCTCAGAAATAACGTAATATGGTGAACCTGATACCAATAGGTTTATTCTAAAGAGCTGATTATAAAATCGAAAAATCAAAATTACTGTGAACACACTAAGGCAGATATAACTACTCGTAAGGAATGGATTTATCTAATAAATAAATAAAAAAACATTTTTACTATATTCAAGGTATCAGCTTCTGTTATTTTGATCATATGAAATCTTGGTGATTGTTTTTGTCAACTTTTTAAACTATCTAATAAAAAAGAGAAGACCACCAGTCATTTTTTAGATCTCTTCTCTCTTCACAAAATGCCATATAACTCTAATTTAATAAATATCTCTGAAGTCACTTAGTTCTTTGAAAATAGTATATCGGTTAATGTTTGTATATTGAGATCAAAGCATCTGACTTGACAAAACCACGAACTGTTTACGAGAAATCGTGAGAACACATCGATGGATTTTTCTTTGCCAGACAGCATTGTTGATTTAGGGCCAAAGAGCATCACAGGATGGTCCTTTGTCGTCCTAAACGACAAATCTTGCAGGACGATCTTTTCATTGCATTTTGCACAAGAACAAAAACTTACATGAATATGGGGTACGATGTAAAATATCATAGAAGTACTATTTATATAAAAATTATTTACAAGAAATCATGTTGACAAACCTTACCAAATGTTTTTTCAGCAGAAATGAAATAAACCTTAACATTCGTAAGATTAACAACAGAATAAGAGAATAAAGATAAGGATACGTTCTTTTTTTACCAATTGTTCTTGAGTTTCTCATATAAACGAATAAATAATATGCTATCAATGTTACTCGGTGATAAACATCAACGTCATTGAGTGAATATCAATGAAGCTGATATTAATAATCTTTCTATCCAAGAAATGATCACTAGAGTGGCATGTACTCCTCTGGCTACTATTAATAATAATGGAAGATCATCATGTGTTTTCCTATTAGATCAGAGCTTCGTTGAATCACGATCATTAGCTGACTTGAATGTCTTACAGATCCTGTGTCCTCATATAGTAGCAAATAATCAAACAGTTATTTTATTTATGATTTCTCGACATCTTTCGTATTTACAATAAAATATAAAACTATGGCGAAGATAATGTTAAAAAAACTAATATGAAGTAGAAGAGATTAGTTACATTGTACAAAAAAAAATTCTTTTCAAAGAAAATTTGTAGTAAAAGTATATGCTTGTGATTAATTCACGCTTGAATACTATGTGATAAAAGTTTTTGATAGTACGGTAAAACTTCATCGTATAATGCAACATATTTACGTGGAATATCATTTCGAGTTAGTTTTGTTGAAGGTGGTGGACTAAATCCAGTTGATTTATGAACTTCATTATACCAAGCTGAAGCCCAAACACCATCTATTGATTTTGGACCAACTGGCCATGATAACATTTCATCTGTGTATGGTATATTTACTTGCCTACATGTTTCTATTAAAATTGATCTTGGATTTTTTCTTAGTTCATTACCATTGATAACTATTGGATCTTCTCTTGTCTTTTCTTTAAACCAATCATATATTTTAACTTGATGTTCTAAACAAAGATCTTCACCAGTTATATATGGATCTACTTTTATATGTGACATAATAACTTCAACAGGATCACGTATAAGAAATACAGGACAATAATTTAATATACGATCTTTATTCATATCTTCTACTGTATTAGCCATATTTTTCACAAAAACATTTCCTTTTATATTTT